AAGCTCAATTGTCCAATCCAAGCCCACATATGGGCTTGACCCAATAATTCTTCCTCTCCGGCTCATATAGTGGGCTGTACCAAGCCCGCTCTTCGCCTACATGTTTCAAGCTTCTCCTTAGACAAAGACTTTGTCAACATATCTAATCTATTCTCATTGGTACACACATTTTCCAACTATAACTCTTTCATCTCAAGCACATCACGAATCCAGTGATATCTCACATCAATATGCTTGGATATAGAATGGTATGTTGAATTCTTGGAGAGATGAATGATGCTCTGATTGTCATAATAAACAGTATATTCTTCCTATTTCAAACCAAATTTCTGTTGAAACTTTTTCATCCATAAAGCTTCCTTGCAGGCTTCAGTAATTACTATGTATTCTGCTTCTGTGGTTGATGGAGCAACACAATTCTATACCTTAGATTGCCAAAAGACTGCTCCCCTTATAAATGTCATTAAGAACCCCGAAGTTGACTTCTTGGAATCAGTATCACCTACCATGTCTGCATCTATGTACCCTTCTAACACAGGTTCATCACTGCCAAAACATAAACACAACCTGGAAGTACCTCTTAGATATCTTAATATCCATTTCACTGTTGCCCAATGTTTCTTTCCAGGATTAGAGAGAAATCGGCTGACAACTCCAACTGCATGAGCTATCTCTGGTCTATATTTATCATCTGGTAAAGAGCTGAGAAGTAATATTTTTTGCATCTCATCATCTATATTCATTTTCATAGCAACCAACTTGTTTGCAAGATTCTGAAATAGACTTATGTGTTCAACAATATTACCACTATCTTTAAACTTCAAATTTACAAGCCTTCTGAGGAGAGAAATTTTATTTCCTACTATCTTTTTCGTAAAGAGATTTTCTAACATTTGACAAACAACATCAGCACTGGTTTCATCAGAAATATACTCATGCAAGTTTATATCCATCTATCTTATAATATAGGAAATAGCTTTTCTATGTTGAACTTCTCATTCTTCATCGTCCATAGTAGAAGATTTATCTTTAACTTTGATAGACTTATACAAATCTTTGTAATAGAGCAAATCTTCCATCATACGTCTCCAAGTGGAATAATTTGATGAGTTTAATTTAATCATACCATATGACTATTCCATTTTAATCATACAAGAAAAAACTAGCACCAAATAACCTAGCTCTGATACCATTTGTTGGAAAAAAACCTGTTAAAACGGAATAATTCATTTTCCTCTTTGTGTATCAAAATGGGTTCCTCAACGACATATACCAACTTGATATTAAAAGCATATATGAACCAGAACATCAACATTATATGAACAGAACAACAACGCGTAGAGAGAGAGGAAATAACAGAGAGAGAAAAAGGAGAGAGAAAATAATGTTTTTGAGTTTACTGCTTGACGATCAGGGGTTAAACTTTGTTAGTTTTGGCCCAAATTTTATGTGGAGAATCCTTACAATAAGCTCTACAATCTTAACGGTATTGATTTACAATTTACCCTCTCTGAGGTACTTTCCTATGATATTCACTTTGTGAGGCTTACAATTCTTTTAGAGATTCATCTATGTGATGAAGATGTGCTATTCTTGAGCCAAGATATATGATCTTAATATTATTGTGATCCTCTTGTTATTTTAGAGAAGACTTATTGTAAACCAGTTATTATTACTATTTATAGTAGAAGTTTGTACGGTCCCGTAGTTTTTTTCGCATTGGGTTTTTCACATTAAAAATTTAGTCTCACTATGTGATTGATTTATTGCTCTACTATTTATGCTGTTTTGGTTCATATGTGCTTTTAATATTAAGTTTATATTTTGATACACAAATAGGAAAAATAATTATTTCGCTTTAATAGGTTTTTCCGAACATGGTGCACACTGTGAGAAAAAAATGTAGTAAGGTTATTGTATCATTGACCCTTAGGAAGCCTTGAAGAGGGAATTGCGAACTCAGTTCATGCTAGAGAACACAGAGTTCATGGCATGATGAAAGTTGTGGCAACTTCGCTAGACCTTTACTATCCGAGGCTATATGAAGCAGTTTTTTGTATTAATGCTAAATATTTAAGACATGTTCAAGAAAGATAAACTTTTTCTGCTAAATATTTAAAACCATGGGCTCGCCATGAGTTGCATCATCAGAATGTCCATGAGCTAACATGTTCAATCAACGAGGCAAAATGGCTCATAGATTTCTCTACAGAGATGATAGAGAAAAAGTACATATCAAGGAGAAAAAAGTACTTATCAGAGGAGAGATCTCCAAAAGCTTCCAAATGGAAGCACATGAAGAAGAAAGGTGCTCCGATGGGACATGGATCCAAAGAAAACATCTCGAAGTCGGACATGTCTTTTGTGAGGTGGAAAGCATCCGATGTTGGAATGCCCACAACGAAATGAGTTGCTCAATGCCCTTACAGCTTCTTTCCAGCCAGAGGAGAAGAGAAGGCAATCGGCTCGAGCAAGTCACGTTCAAGTAGTGACGAATTATCTTCAAGCCCTCGCACAAGAGTTATGCGTTTCTTGAACGCATTGCGAGATGAAGTCCAAGAGAAACCTAAGTAGAGGCCAAAGAAGAAGACCGACTCTTTAAGCTCTAGTTTGTCATAGTCTAGCAATGATGAAGGATCACCATAACAATCTTGCATTGAGATTGTGCAATTGTTGAATGCACTACTTAAGGGTTAAGTGGGGGAGCAGTCAAAGGCAACACCGAAAGAGATAAAGGCACATAATAACCTAATAATATTTGTGGACATCAAGTTGAATGGGATGATGACTCGCGCATTGGTGGACATAAGAGCCACACACAATTTCATAATGAACCGAGAGGCAAAATGACTCAGATTAAAGTTGGAAAAAGTCTGAACCGAATGAAGACAATCAATTTAGAGGTAGAACCTATTTTTAGATTGGCGAAGGGAGTTGACATCGAGATTGGAGATTAGAGTAGGAGCACCAACTTCATAGCGCTTCCCTTGGATGATTTCCAAGTCATCCTTGGGTGGAGTTTTTGCAAGAGGCGAAAGCAATACCCATGTCATTCTTGAACTCGTTTTTTGTTGGGCGATAACTCTCCATGCATGGTGACACTTTCGAAGAGAGCTTTGAAAGACATATATACTCTTATGCTATACAAGTGACGAAAGAATCAAGACGAGAGGACCTGACTCATCCTATAGCGATGCAGTTGAAGTTAAAAGGCCTCAGCGCGGGGTTAGTGTTTGTCGAGACAGTCACACTTAAGAATATGTCGGTGTGCTAAGATCTTAGTTGCCAAAGCCCTTTCCACAGAGGCATAAGGTGAAATGACAATTCAAACTCAATGAAGGAGTCAACAATCTAGTAGACCATCCACATTAGGCATCATTAATGCCATGCAAATTGTCAAAGAATCATAGTTGACAGTGGCCATGCAACAAACATATGGAGATGACGAGGTATGCAGACGCAGTTGATCAAGAGAGGTAAGGCATTACAACGACCTCGAGTCCAAGACTCAAAAAAGAACTTGGTCAAGAAAATGTTGAACTAAAGGCCATGAATATAAGGAGATGAGGTATGATACCGCAGCAGCAATTGGGACATGGACGTGGACGATCCCACAGCTTTAGACTTGGCCATCTTGCTCTTTTCGTTTGCGATGACGGTAAATTACCTATACGTTCACCTTTCTAATCTTTTCTTTGTTATGTAGGTCATTTGTGGATTGCACGAGATTAAAGTCTAGGCTGATCCTAGCGAACACATATCTTTTGAGTGTTGCATGCCTTAGATAATCCCAGTTAAGGATGTGATATTTCAGCTAAGTAATTAAATATTATATAGGTTAGATTAAGTTAGCTAAAGATGAAGCCAGTTACTTAGTTCAGATCATCCAATTAGTAAGCTTTAGAACCTTTAAGCCTAGGAAATTTCATCTTAGTGGTGCCTTACTTGGTAAACAGGATTCTAAATTGAAAGAATTATGTTCATTCCAATGACATTATGTGTCTGAATTGGGAAGGTTTTATATTAACTTCTGTTAATCAAAGTCAACCGAAATCATTGGCTTTTCCCAAAATATTATTTTATGATCAATCAGTTGAAGCTATAACTGTGGTAGTATTGCTGTTGATTTGATCTACTGATTTGGAGGGATTCTCAAAGGATGAAGACCATGTCATTGTCTTCAAACAGTGGAGTGAATAAATTCCTTCTTATCATCTTTGTCTGCAATATTTAAGAAAGCATGTGGGTTTGCACTGCCTGTTTTACATTACAATTAAGGGACCAAGAATAGACCTTGAAAGCATTCTGTTTGCTGAGTCTCATAGAAGCACTAAGAACACAAGTGATGGTGTATTGTCTGCTGAATCTAAAGAACATGTTCACATGAGATCTTTGCATGATTTGGTCCCCCATTCCATGGATGGATTTGATACCCAAGATCAAGAGGCTTTTTTTTATTTGAAAGCTAGCCCTGATTTATGGTAGAAAATGTCCTCTTGCATTCATCAGACAAGTGAAAACATCTTCTTATTGATTTGTTTTCTTAGATCAACTTCCTATTTACTCCTTTTCAGATGCCAATGGCAGCATTTTATTATATATATATATATATATATATATATGTGTGTGTGTAATTTTTTTACACAAAATTAAAACTTGAACATTAATCCTCATTTGAGCCTGCAATGACATATTTCAAAAAATTAAAACTCGGACTGAAAAAAAAAAGTAGGAATCAGATTTTCCATCGATTTGATTTACTTTTTTTTTTACATTAAAAAAAAAGAGATCAAAATGCTCTTGATTTTATTCATTATAAAAGCCTAAAATTTTCAAGTATATAATGTTTTATCATAAAATGTTGAATTCTTTTATCATTGTTTTTTATAATGTTGTTCATAATATTTTATGTTATTTAACATAATATAAATATATTGTATATAAAAAATTAAATCCACTAACTCATCGATTCTAATAACTACGAGCGACTGCCAGTGTTGTAGGCATAAACTTCCGAGTTCCAGGGGGCCATGGTGATTACAGATTGCAGATTGCAGAGGTAGGAAATGGTGGAGGAAGGGATACAGTCCCATCTCGCCATGTCTATTAAGAAAGCAGCAGTCAACCAAGAACACAACAGCTGCAGCTGCAGCTGCATCACCTCATCATCATGGTGCTCTTCTTCCCTCACACCGCCCGCCCTCACCTGCCTCCCTCTTCTGCCGCTTCTCCGCGAAGCTCTCGCCATGCCTCATTATCCAATACCTCTCGATCTCCTCCGCCTTCCTCCCCGGGATTCGCCCTGCTACGAGCTCCCACCTGCACACCAGTAAGTAATTATTCTATGATTACCAACAATTCTCTTTCTTTTCTTGCTGTCGTTATCAGCTCCATCACTAGTTTCATGTTCGTCATCATCACTCCCATCTCACTCACTGCTATCTCTACTGTCGGCGTCTTTCTCACCGACCAGCATGATTAAGTCATGGATGCAGAGAGAGAGAGAGAGAGAGAGATAGATAGATAGATAGAAATGTAGGAAGTTTTCTCACTCACTGCTATCTCTACCGTCGTCATCTTTTTCACCGACCAGCATGATTAAGTCATGGATGCAGAGAGAGAGAGAGAGAGAGAGAGAGAGCTGTCCCAAGTAGAAGAGTAAAAGGTATATGGGGATGGAATGATGTGGTAGGACATCAACACGTGAAGGGCGTGCACGTTTCTTAGCTTTTCCATCCCCTCTGTTGTTCGACTTATTCACCTTATGAAATCCCACCAATTTCAGATCTTGTCTTCTCTCACTTTATCTCTAAATTTCACTTATCTTTAATCTTGTTAGCTCCTATCTATCTTGTCGATATTAATGTGTTGATATTAAAATATATATATATATAAGTAGTTTAAAAAACAAATGAAGTATTAGTTAGAGTTTTAAAAATAGTAAAATTATGAAAGAAAATATTGAGAAGATTGCTATGATTTTAGATTGAATGAGAGAATAATTATATGATTATGTGTCTCTTTCCTTCTCTCCTTTTAGAAATCAAACATAACATATTAGTCTTACAAATTTAATATTTTTTTTCATCCGATATCGAAGCTAGATTTTTCTTTTGATGGTTCTTAAATACTCAAATTACAAGGAAGAAGAAGAAGATTTGGGGAAGATCAACTATGGCAAATGATAGAGACTCATATCTCAACCTTATAATAATAAGTGCTTCAATTTTCAATGGTGACTGACATCTATGGTTTTTGGTTTGTGAATATGAGAATCATGTTTCTTTCTTTCACTTGATTTATGGGATTTGGTTGAGAATGATTTATGATGATTCTGATAATAAGAAACCATGACAAAAGATCAAATAATCAAATTAAAAGAAGAAAGATTCAACAGGATGTTTCAGATGCAATCTTCTTCTTCTTAAGGATCATGAGGGCTACAAAAACAAAGAATGTATGAGATCTTTTGCAAGAAGAATTTCAATGAGATATAAAAGCTAGGATTATCAAATTTCAAACCAAAGAGTTAGAGAATATGAAAATGAGATTTCTATATAAAGTTTATGGAGTTGATCAATCAAATGAAGTCTTATTAGTGACAAGAGAATTCTAGAGTATCATAGAAAAGTTTAATCCTATTGTGACTGTGATTGAAGAAGAAACAAAAGATTTTTCTAAATTTTAAGCTAAAGAACTTATGAACAAGGGTTGAGTCAATGTTCATCAGAGAAATGGAGAATGCATTTCAATCAAAACTTAATATTGCTTTCAAAAATAAAGAGAATAAATTAAGTAACCAATCACAAAGTAAGAGGGAGTAACCAAACTAAGGAAGTAGAAGTTCATCAACAACAACAACAAAAAAAAATAAAGTATGAATAAATTATGACAGAAATTTCAGTAGAAAAAGGACCACCAAAAGCATGTAGAATAAGCAAAAGAAATAATCATGATAATGTATCTTCTTCTTTCCCTCATCTTAAAATTTTATCTTAATATATTAATCTTACAAATTTAATATTGAGAGAGAGAGAGAGAGAGAGAGAGAGAGATAGATAGATAGATAGATAGATAGATGATAATGCTTGCCTGTCGCCAACAAGCCGATACATCCTGCGGATGAGGTCTTCCTCTTGCTCCGACATGTGGATGAACTCCCACTCCTTGCTACTGACTTCTGCAAAACGGAGACAAACCTGCATGAAATACGAAGAAGACGAAGAAGAAGAAAGAATACAGCGGCAGACCTTCGGATTCACGGTGGGTGGTCTCCAGCTGCAGTCTGCAGCTCCGCTTGTCCATGGAAGAGGAAGTAAGATGTCTGTGACTTGTGGCTTCAGATGCCAAGGGAGGAGGGACGCATTCAACCTTAAAGCGTTAGGTAAAAGGAATATATGGTACGTGCAGCGGATGGCATTGTAAGCAGCGTCGTTATTTCATCAGCTGCAATGATAGATCAGCTTGAAGGAGGACCACTATGGGAGTTGATTCCTCCTGTAGATAGCTTCCCCACCTTCCTGAGTCCTTGGCCTGGCCGTCCTTCGACTCTGCTGTGCCTTCCATGTGTTTCTTTCTCCACCTCCACTACTATTATTCCCCTTCTTCGCTCAACCACCGTGCTGATGATGCCTGGAGATCAAGTACTCTTCTCTCTGTGTCTCCTATTATCTCATTGCAGCTGGCTGATACACTGATCTAGATGTGCGCGCACTCCTCGATTCAAGAGATCGAGTTCAACAAGAGCATGCGTGATGTTTGCTTGTGAGAGATACAGTGGATCATATAAGGTTGTCACAACTTTTTGTGTCTATGGGGAGGGACACTGTCATCCTCAAAACAGGACCAATTTTGCCGAAGCTTCCTTTTAGAGAATCTCCAAATAGTTTATGTCGATTCCTATTAACTTCCAACTTGCTTAAATAAATCATATCATTCACTTTGACTCTTTTAGCTTCAAAGACAAAACAGAGAATTATTTATTTGGATCAAGCCCAATTAGACCACCTAATCGAATAGGCCCGGCCCATTAATAATATATTCTCTTTTGGCTTGAATTGGTCGATTGGAACAAAATAGTATGTATGACATATTAATAAAGAACAAGAACAAAAGATAGTACCTTTTAACATGTCCTAATGAAGCATATGCCTTTCCTTTCCTTCGAAAAGGAAATAGTAAACCACCATGCGAACTCCGAAAGAGTTTTCTGGCGCACCCACTCGGTCACGTGGCTTTCTCTTCATCGTACGCTAATCCCCACGCGCCCCCGCCCCCTCGTGATGCGGGCCGACGCCGTCCCCACCACCCAAGAGGAGGCAGCACCGGCTCATGGGCTCCCCCATCCCCACCCTGACGCCGCCCTGCCTCCTCCGTCCACCGCCCACGTGATCCCTGTCGTCGTCCCCTTCCTGAGCCCACCCGCCGCGGTCCCCCCCCCCTCACGACCCCTCCTGCGTTCATGCCCTCCCGCAGCCATCCTCGACCTAATTCGGGTGGAATCCGGTGGTTGTCGGCCCGCCGCGGGAAGAGGGCAAAGGAGCGAGGCCGAGTCGCTGCTGCTCGGGAGTGCGCCGTCTGCATCCCCAGGTGACGACGTGTCACCTTCCTCACCGTTGGCCTACCCTGCCGGAACTTTTTCACGTACGCTGATCCCCTCCCACCATTTCATATAATAACTAATATCTTAATGGGATTAGTTTAACGGATTTCGAGTGTGTGGATTAGGGGGAGGGCTATCTGATTCACTAGAAGACTGAGCTGTAGGATCCTCGAACCAGTGGCAAGGGAAGGTCCACGTCGTCACCTTCTCACCCGCTCTTACTTTAATCTGTATTCCTCATCGTGATCGAGAGAGGACCCCACGCCTCGCGGAGCTCTTCGACGGCCACGTCGTCACCATACCCTCGTTTCCCCTCCTCCTCTCTGTCCGTACCAAACAGCAGCGTAATTTAATGATAATAATAATAATATATTATATATTATTAAACATAAAAAAGAAATGAAATTAAAAATAACAGAAATAAAATTCTCGATAATACAATTTGAAAGGAGGAAAAAAACGTTACACCGCCACGCGGATTGCATATATATATAAGGAAGAGTGGAATAATTGGGGGCAAAAAGATAGGTTGTGCTGTTTTGGTGTTGGCGATTGTCGAGCTTTCACCTCCGAAGCGTACGACGACGAGAGGGACGGAGAGGGTCGGGGTTGGAGGTAACGTTTGAGCGCCGCGCCCTTATCCGATCCTTTTATTGTTACCGCGATCCTCGAGTTCTCACCTCTCGTCTCCGCTTCTTGAAGGATTAGGGTCGTATTCTTGGATTCGGCGATCTGGTTTCTCGGCTAACCTTTTTTTTTTTTTTTGAAGTATGTTTGACCGGTACGGAATTCGGTGCTATGCCGGTGGTGTTGCCGCCCTTTTTGTGGTCTGTGTCATCCAACCCTCGGCTACTTTCCATTTCTTGTAATATTAGGGTTGTGTTGTCTGGGTTTGGCGATCTGTTTTATCCCCCGACCCTTTGCGCGGCGTGCAAGTGGTGTGCTGTCTTGATCATCGAATCGTTAGCTCCTTCCCGGTTTCTTGAAAGATTAGGGTTGTTTTTATCCTTCGTCCGGCGATCTGTTTTTTCCAATGGTTTTGGGCGGTATGGAATCGGTGTTCTGCAGGAGGATTTGCTTTTTTGTGTTTTTGTTCGTGGCATGTTTCGGTGGCTGTTTTGGTGAATTTTTCGGTGGACGAGGTGTGCATGGGCGATTCGGGTTCTCCTATTATCTGGTTGGTTTATCCTGTTTCTTTCTTCGTACGTTTGCTTGCTTGCTGATGCTGCCGGCTGGCTTCGTTACGAAGCCTTATATTGAATCCGATGCTTCCACTTGGTGTGATCCAAGATCTTTCTTCTTGAACTCGATTTTAGGTGGTTTGTTGTTTCCGACCGAAGAGATTGTTTTCCTTTTTCTATTGTTTTCTAATATGTTATCGAATTATTTTACACTCTCGATCAACAATCTAGGAAAATAAGTTCCATGACATGCGTAATTTGGATATCTTTTGTTGCGCTGGAGGAAAGTTTGAAAAATAAGTTTGAAAATAAGTTCCATGACATGCGTGATAAAAAAAAAGTTTTATTACTTTGTCATGGTTTTCTCTATAGTAGTGGATTTTGTTGGAAATCATGGTAGAAAGTATAATGCGTGTGTGATGCTTTCAGTTTCTTTTCTGGTTGCCAATTATTTGCTGTCTTAACTGGAGTAGCGTCGTGATGTGATTCTTCACTGTTCCTATGGGTTTCGAGAGCCAAATGTACCGTCAAAAGACTCAAAACCCTTTCTATGCCTTTTTTTAAAGTTATTTTGGGCATATTAATCGTTTTTACTCTACCTGAAATCTGATGCTGGGCTTTGTGTAGAAATGATATTGGCTCCTACAGTGTATCTTTTTTATGCTATTCCGACCCCATTTCCTCCACAGGTTTTACCTGCAGATGCTGAAGAACTCTATTTCATTACATGGAGGGGAATGAAGCCACTGACACAGAGATCTCAAAAGAAGCTGCTCTCTTAAAAACAGAGAATGATCGATCACCACGGGAACCAGTCACCGGCAGTGCAGTGGAGACATACAGTCTGTTAGCTTCCCACGACAGTGATTGGCCGGAACACTTATCTTTGCTGCGATCACCTGAGGTGGTTATTGAATCTGTTGCTGGAAGGAACTTCAATTACAATGTAGGTACACAGGCAGGTTCTCAACCACTTTGTGCAAGCCTTCACTCTTTGAACAACCCGGCAGTATCCGTGGAAGAGCTGACTCTGAAAAACTACAAGAATCCTTACTTATCACTGGATGGTAGCTCAAGTTTATCTTTAGGTGGCAGCTCGAGTAGTGGAGAAAAACCTTTGGTCCAGACAAGTTCATGGCCGAATTTTACAAGGATTGCTGGCAGACCAAAGCAAACAGCACCAAAGGATTATCAATTATTGGGTCGCAAGGATGCTGGAGGCAGTGCACTGCCTCCATATGGGTCTCAGACATTGCTTCCACTCCTGCAATCGCAACCAAAGACATCCAGGGTAGATGAGCATGTAGCTGGAGTTGGCAACCACAGAGTCTCAAGTAATTTAAGTGCAAGATCTCCTCATGAGATCCGACCTAAGTCTCTGTCTTCTTCTGGGTTTCAACAATTTTTTATCAGAAGTTCCTCAAATGGTAAAGCTGTTGCATGTAAACATCAAAAAGGTCATGATGTATTGGACAGTGCAATATCTGCGCTAACTATTGAAAAGTCTAATGTTGACAAAAGAATTTCTTCTAATTTGTCTCATGCGCCCGGTGAAGAGGCGGATAGGATGCACCTTTTAGGTGGTGGAGAACTGGTCTCCCATCACGGGGATATTACTTTGAGGGAGTGGCTTAAGCCTAAACGGCAAAGGATAAGTAAGGCTCAGAGGATGCATATATTTAAGCAGATTCTGGGTCTTGTTGATGCTTGTCACACGAAAGGGCTTGCTTTGCAGCATTTACGACCATCATATTTTCTTGTGCTACCCGTAGATCAGATTAAATACATTGGATCTTTTGTCCCTCGAGAACAGGTTGAGCAAGCTCCGAATATTCACCATGAGCAGCATCCATTGAAAAAGAAGAGGCATAGGGAACCAGATGAAGCAGTTAATGAATTCTTGAAACTAAAGCATCAGAAGCTTGCTGACGATGGTAGTGTTACATATCTTTGCAAGATTGGCTGTATAGGAAATGATCAAGGTGAAGAAAATGAAGTTGATACTTCCAAAGCAGGAAACTCCAGATGTGATTTTAGGAAACTTACAGAGGGTAAACCGTTCAAAGCTTATGGTACATCTCACCCCCCAAGTTCTGATGCCATTCGCCAACATCCTATGTGTGAATCAGTAATGTTGGAGGAGGGGTGGTATGTTAGTCCTGAGGAGTTGAATGGTCAAGTTGCCTCTTGCTCGACAAATATCTATAGTCTTGGGGTTCTATTTTTTGAGGTGAGGAGAACACTAAAATGAAATATCTTGTCCGTTTAGTTAGCATGCATTAGTTACTTGATAGCTTATGTTATGCAATTATACCTACCAACTTTAGCTGAAGAAAAGTTGTTCACAGTTTCTTCCTGGAGATACATGTAAGCTTTTATCCTGTAAAGCCATGGGCAATAAGCAGGAAGGGAAATCACTTGTATTGGAATGAGAATGTAGTCATTGCTTTCTTCAAAGACTGCATTAATTGAGACAATTAAATAATGAAAAAAGACACTGAGGTCGAAATGGGGTGGATCTTGAGGAGTCTGGTATGAGTTCATCTTCATGGACACAAAAGCAGCAAGAATTAAATAATATATTTAGTGTAAGCATGTAGGGGTACATGAAAGAGTGAGTTAACCCTTTAATAACTTGGACCTTCAGAGGGAATAGGTCCACTAAGA